CAGACTTTCAAGCTTTCATTCAAGATTAAAAAAGTCACCTAACTCACAGGCAAAGAACTGATTTTATATTGTATCTTTAGGCAAAAAAACAGATAATTTGTTCCCATTTCTGTATTTGAATCTATGAAAAAGGTCAAAAATAACACAGTTTGACAGACATAAAATAGTATTTTTGCACCAACAAAGTGATTCCCAAAGAACTGTTAACTGGAAACTTACAGAAGAGAAAGAGGAAGTGACAGGCCTAAAAGAAAAATATCTATAGCATATACATGGTATCTAAACATCATGTCTGTAAGACAGAGAGAAAGAAATCCAGCAAAGAGCTGACACACGACCTGAGAGATGCATCAGGACCTTCAGTGGATCCATCTACTGACCACTGAAGCCTCATCAGAAATGCTCTCAGTGGAAGGGACAAAAGGCTGAGGTCTGATTGCACAAGAGCTGGCCTAAAGATCAGTGACAACAGGTCTGGTAGAGTTATTAATACAAATTTGGAATTCTTGGTTGAAATCATCATGAATATGCCCAGAGGAGGTCAGGAGAGGTGCAAGCGTGAGTGTCTACAGCCATGAGTGAAACACGGTGGAGGCTGTGTCATGGTTTGTGCTGCATTTCAGTCAATGCTGTTGGAGATCTTATCAAATCTGATGGAAACACGCCGTCTGTCATGGTCTTCCTGTGTCTGCCATGCTCCTCTATCTGCGTCTGTGACCCCGCCCTTTTGTATTTCAGACTCGGCGTACTTTCGTGCTTCTGTCTTTCTTGCTAATGCACCTGAAAACTGTTTGCACTAATTTTGTGACCGTTTTATTTTTTCTGTAAGACTGGGCTGCATATGTAGAGAATAATTATGTAACTTTTTTTTTTGTATGAAACTCTGCTGTAGCTTTTATGCAACGTGATGAAATTTATTTCAGATATGTTAGAATAGTTGCAAAAATGTTCCTGTAGACTTGGTTTCAGTTAAAAATGCTTGATTGTGTTTAGTGTGTGTATTTACAGTTTAGCCATGATGTGGTTTTTTTTAAATGCACCACACAGTTTGCACTTTGACAGCATTTCTGCCAGCTGGAGCTATACTAGCCTGTTTGGAATAAAACAGAAGACTTGAGTCATTAGACTGAGCATCAGTGATGTTTTCAGGTTGATTTCTCCTTCAGAAAAATCAATAATTAACCTTTTTATGATGGGCCACTATCTTTTTCTTACCCATAATCCACCACTCTCTCTCCATCGTCTTGTTTTCCATCATCTTTTCACCTCCCTACACTCTCCGTCCATCATTTCATCTGCCTTTCTTTTACTGCTTCCTCCCCTCATTCTCTCAATCTTCCTTAATTTTCTCCCACGTCAACTCCCAGGTTCTTCAGTCTCTGTTTCCCCCGGCTGTCACCTTTTCATCCTTCCTTGTTGACTCCTTCGCTTTCCATCCATCCTTCTTCATCTCTGGCTGTTTTTCCTCACCGTCCATCGCTCTGTGTTTCTGCCTCCATTAGGAGGAAATGGAAAAAGTGACATCAGCTATTTGGTAAACGGAGAGAGATGGAGGGTGAGAGAAAGAGACAGAAGATGAAACAAAGGACAGAAGGGGCAGAAAAATGGAAAGCAAAGGTCAGAAGAGTGACAGTGGGAATGATTGTAAAAGAGAAAAGGAAAACAGAGAAGGAAAGAAAACAGAGGCAGGAATGAGAGGAGAATAAGAGACAAGCACAGGAAGAGAGCGAGAGAGATCCATTAAAGAGAGAGTGAGTGAGAGAGGGGAAAGCTTCACCTCATTAACCCCGTAATGCAGAGTAAATATACAGTCTAAATGGAACATAGACGACGTGTGTGTGTTTACTGTCAGCCCTCTGCGCTTGTGTGTGTGTGTGTATGGCCACAAAATACATTACCAGAATACCAAAGTGCCAATCTGTATTTGTATTATGTGGTTATCTGTGTGTGAGTATGTGAATATCTCCTGAAATACCAGAGTGTTTGTGTGAAAATGCCTCCTTATCCCGGATAGTTGTTCTTCTGTCCTCTGGAATCAGATGTCACCCAGGAGCTTTATCCTTGCATGTTTATGGCAAACACCTTAATCATTATTAATCACAGATTTACTGAACTGTTTGAAGAGTTTCATCTTACACAAATTTCTTTGTTTTATATTTAAAGTTCAAATTTCATATTAATAGAAGAGGTGGAAGGAGTAGTAGGAGGAGGAGGAGTAATGGTCCTCACAGGAAGTGATTTCTTTGTCATTTATCCCTTTGTTGGTCCCTAGTGGACATTCCGGTTTCCAGTTGCCTAAGTGCCAATCTATATTTACCACCCTGTAACATGTCAATCAATGTTATCCTTCACTGTCATTGGTATTCATGTCAGTCGTTCACTTAAAAGTTGATAAAAGGTTAACTCAAAACCTGCCCACCTCGCGTTGCCCGTGGTTATTATGTCTGTCATCGCTCTTAGAATGTCTTTGACGTTCTATGGTCTCTGCTCGTCTGGCTTCAAATCTGTGTGGATGCCCAGAACAGTGGGTGTTTTAGATGGTAAAGAGAAGGCCACAAGGCAAAGAGTCATAGCATAACTAACCAACACCTCAGTCGTGTGACCCCAGAAGCAGATCGGATGAGAGACGCTCAGACATCTGAAGACCAAAGCCAGCCTGTTCTCATGGCAAAACATGAAATGCTAATGAAACAGTAACCTATTTGCTCGTGAGCAAAACTCTTCCTGTTAGTCCTGACAATCTGCAGCACATAGTATGGTCTGGAGGCTTTTAAGAGGCAAAGCAGCACCATAGCAATAACAATAACCATGCTTGGTTTGTGGAAACTCTTGTATTTTCACCACTGACAAACAAACAAATGGTTCACACCTGCATTCTTTTTAATGGTGAGCAGGGGGTGATGGCTGTGGATGCATAAAGACTTCTTGTCCTGTAGAAGTCTATGGAAAAAAATAGCCCACTGCCCTACAGCTATAAACACAGAATCTCCATAAAAAATTAAGTCCATTTTTAAAATTTTGATTATCTTAAATTTGAGGAGGCCTATTCAGGGTGTGCTCGCTGGCTGAGGACTTGTAATTAACAAGATGTAAATTACAACTTGTTAATTACACGTTAATTAACTTGTTAGTGAAACTTCATGTCCTATGTCTGACTTTAATACCATCTGTGATGATTTTTTTCCAAAATCTAACAAAGTATCATCATCAGTGGTGTGAAATCATCAGTGACACAAACAAACGGAAAGATTCAAGACAGGCCCAAACAGGCAACCTTCAAAGATTTCTTCATTTTCAAATGGGCTAAAGCTGACGTAAACAGTGAGTGAGTGTAAAAATACTCCTCTGAAAAGGCCGGGTGTGCTTGATTTATAACAAGATAAAATGTTGTGGTGAAAATGAATACAAAAAGCAAAAAGTTGGATCATAATGATCAAATCTGTAATCAAGAATTGTATCTGTCGTTGGGCATTTCTGGCTCAACTCTTTCTCTCTCCTTGTCTTCAGACATTCACTTTTAATTATAAAACAAATCTTAGAAAGTTTCTCAACTTAATTTTGGTGAGTAAAATGGTATTATATCAGTCTGTTACACTGTTCAACTACTGGAACTTCTTCTTGTCTAAAAAAAACTAACCTTGCTAAAAAACTGCGACTGAAGCTTCAAAGAAAACATTGTGTGAGGTGTGTAGCTATCTACATGATTTATCCACACTCTAGGACAGAGTTCATTTTCTCAAGGGCCTACATTAGAAACATGGTGCGGCCCTCCACAATAGTCCCATGTGGACTGTTGTGGAGGGCCGCACAAACAACATAAGGAGATCAAATTAATATTAAGTAGAATTTAGTTGAGCTTACTAGTGCGGCCCAGTTTCTCATGTGCGCCCTCATTGGAAAATTAATTACTCACCTCTGTCCTGGAGTGCATAATAATGACCTACACAGCCGTTGTGACCTCACCCCCTATTTTCTCCATGGGTGCCTAGGATGAAATCGTAATTGTTTTCATCTGAATTTAACTCCTAGTAATCAGACATGCTTGACGCAATGCCTTGCTGTTCGTTCATTACATCCAATTTAAAAATACTCAAGCCACCAGAAATACACTGAGCACAATTGCTTTGCGTAGTTTTTTCCCCCATGTCTGTAAAAAACATAGTGATAGAGCATTAAATTCTGTAAACACAAGGATAACTCGATACAAGAAAGTGTGGTGTCACAGTTCGTAGGACTTTACGGTTCAAAACTCTGCAGAGTGTTTAAATCGTATTAGCTTATGATGCCGTTCACATAAAGTCAGCAACGTACATGAACTCATGATGTAAAACACCAGGAGACAGCAGTCATTATAATACTGTATATTTGCAGTCAGCTCAAACCCAGAGAACAGTGACAGACTGAGAGATCATCAGGAGAAAAACATAATAAAACAAAAATCAAGAAAACGCTGAATGTCATTTCTATCTACACTTAATATCCCTTTAAGCCCACCCACCCTGGCCCAGCCCTCCCTCGTTCCTCCCGTACACTTTTCAAATAGTAATTCAACAAATAAACAAAACACGCAGTGGAATAAACAAAACTTCAACACAGTCTGCACTCTTAGTAGGTCAGAAAATCAGGAAGTGAACGCTTTCTGGTGTTTGATGTTGCAGGAGAGCATCTTCACCTGCGGTACGTTTGATCACTGAAAAGTTCTCAAATCCAACAGAAAAGGAGCAAAACTGAATGAGTTATAGAAAGTTCATAAACCTTTTTTTTTCAGGGCAGTTAAAAATAATAATAATAACAACAACAATAATAATAAAATAAACTCCCCATCTTTAGTTTGACAAACAACAGAAACTGTACTAACACTTCCTGGTAACAGGAACGGGCATCAAAATGTGAAAAGGTCAAATGTAGAGGAAGAGAATTCGACATACTTTTAGGATAGTATGTGTCTAAAAATCACTCCATTGCAATAAAAAAACAGTTTTTGTTTTTTTGCATTTTGGTTTTTTTTTTTTTTTTTTTTTTTTTTTTTAACTCTTGCATTGTTTCATAAACTGATTCCATAGGTTGTTTTAAGGGTGATAGAAAATACTTCATACATCGAAAAGCTGCATCCAACATTTTCAGAGTAATGTCTCCTTTACAGAGAGAGGGAGAGAGAAGACGTCGAAGAGGTAGACGGGAAAAAAACAAGTATGAAAGAGAGGAATTGGGCAGTGGGAATATACAGAAGGATGGGAGGGGTTTAATAAAAAGGATTTAAAAAAAATAAGAGGTAGAAATGAAATGAAGAGGTGGTGGGGAGTTCATAAGAGGGGGAAGAAAAGGGAGAGTTCAAGTTAAGGAGTGTATGGAGGTTAAAATAAGCCAAACAACAACACAAAAGTTTTCCCATGCATTCTTTTCAGTCCCTGTACGGAAAATAAAAATTAATGAAACACAAGACAGAAATAGCCTCCCAAGTTGTTTTCCTCTTTTCATCTTCAGTTTGTTCCTTCCTGATATTTTATACATGCCTCCCTTTTATTCATTTATTTATTTATTTGTGTGTTTTTTGTTTCTCTTGTCCAGCGACACACTTAGAGAGTGAGAGTTGAAACTTTTTAGCTCCTGCAAATCATCAACAGCCTTGGAATTTTTTCTTTTAACTGATTTTTCTAAATCATGTCCAACCATGTTGATTCTCATCTGTCCGAATTTGAGAGTATGTTGACGTCATCCAGCCCAGTCACATCTTGCTGCCTCTTTTTTTTTTTTTTTTTTTTCAAATCCTTGGGAATGACTTTCAGTTTTCAGTTTCGGAAACAAATGAGGAACAAGTTCTGCTGCAAGGACAGATAAAGAGGAATGAATGGAGTGAAGTTTGTCTAAAAAGAAGAAGAAGGAGAAAGAGAAGGTAGAGAGACAGGCCCCAAAGTACGTCCAGATAGGGAGTTTGTCTCTTAGTAGTCCCATTTTTATCATAGCAACGTCAAAAAAAGGTCGCTCTGCAGCAAAGATAGAGTCCCGCCTGGGGAGGTCATATCTGTGGTGATCCAGGCTGCCGTGGAAGTGGGCTGGTGGAGTTCTTCTGTGCAGGGCCGGGATTCTGGAGGCGGAGTCTCCCTCTAGAACATCATGGGAGTCTTCAGAAACGGCCGCGATTCTAGGCAAAAACATAAACATGTCATTTAAAAAAGAAAAAGAAAAAAAAGGTAGCACATGCAGCTAGCATAGCACTCAAAGATTCCTGAATCAACAATTATTAGAATTCATGGGTGCAATGGACTGGCGACCTGCCCAGGGTGTAACCCATGTGTCGTCCTTTGACTGCTGGGAAAGTCTCCAGGCCTGCCACAACCAAAATGTTTGGGAAAATGCTAGAACAGCAAATATCTTGGTAAAAGTATAAAACTGAGTGTGTGTGTGTGTGGGGGGGGGGGGATCCTTTGGCACAAAGTCAGAAAACTCTCAGCTTCCATCATATTTGACTGGTGATTCCAGCAATCCCTATATCCCAGTGATAATAAATTTAGATACTACCTTAAAATAACTGAAGAACTTGTTTCTTTGGTAAAACATTGATAAAGTTATGGAAGTGATTGTATCAAACTAGGCAACTATTTTATTTTTTTTAATTAATTTCATTATCTATTTGTATCTTGTAACCCAGCCACAAGCCAGTGATGGTGCTGATCCCAAACCCAGATAAAAGGGGAAGGCTGCATCACAAAGGGGATCTGGCATAAAACCTATGCAAAACCAAACATGCAGATCATAAAGAAGAAGATCTATGTGCATCTTGTGTCTGTCTCCTTAGTAATCTTTCAGTCCTAGGTCAGCAGACTGCAAAAAGCCCAGGTTATACATTTAGATGGTAGAACAATAATTTGTTTGCCAGACCTTTAAAATGACATTAATGGAATAATTTAATGAGGAAAAAAACAGCTTCACACACAACTGGCAAAATATTAACCCCTTAACATCTACCAGGCCAAACACTTAGGGATAACGTTGGAGATAAGTTGCTCTTTAAGGTCAAAGTTATTTTCCAAAACTTGTTTTGGAAAATAACGAGTTCTTCTTCTTGACTAGAGTTCTTCTGCGATGAAATTTCCATTTAAGTCTGCCAAATGGGGGAAAAAATCCTTATAAAGGGGTAGATGTGAAGCTAAGGCCGCTGTTACACAGGCCTAGGGACCAGTCTGTGACCTCCTGGAAACCACCAGTCATTGGGGGGAAATGTGTATCCCCTGACACCAACCACCCACGTGAATGAAAGTTTCGATTTTTTTTGTTCACCAGTTGCTGAAGTCTGTGAGGATTCTTGGCTGTTATGGCATCACTTAGGGGTCTGTGTGACTTGGACGTAACCCATTTCCTAACTCTAAATGCATTGCTACAGAGCAGATGAATGCTAAAAGGTTAGCCAGTTTTAAATTGTAATGATTTTTTTTTACCTTCTTAATGCAATACCTTGAGCTAGTTTGTCTGACCGCCAAATGTGCCAATGGAGTGATTTTACATACTGCAAATCCGCCCGTCCAGCTACTGCAAAACTGCTCAAGGAGCTGAACATTCTTTACTGAGCAACAGGTAAGCTGTACAGTGTGTATATGATGCACTATGATCATGGTTCAAACATGGTTCTAGTAGATGCACCCATGGTATCAGCTTAAAAATCTTTCTCGAGTCATCATTTTCACAAGATTTTGAGAAAACTTGAGCTTGACTTGAACTCAAGGTCAATGAGGTTTGAACTCTTCTGTGATTTTCAGTAGATGCATCTATGCTATTAATTTGAAAATCCTCATTCTTGAGTTAGTGTGTTCACAATCTTGGTGATGCCAGCAGGGTGATGACAATAACAAAGACTGAACACTATAATTAACTAAAGGGAGGAGAGGCTAAGAACTGCTGACAATAAAGCTGGGAATCAACCTCAGTATGTAAATCATCAGCAGGTAAAAATGGGGAGCTGGTATGGCCAAAAACTTGTTTTTGTTGTTTTTATTTCCAGATTGAGAAATTGGCTAATATTAAGCTTGGGAACGACTGCACTAACCTAAAACAGAAATCCAGAAGGTGGTGACACATTATCCCTGCTTCTTTCCTTCCTCCGCTGTCATATTTATACTCCCTGAAGGCTAACTCAGTAAACATTTTCCTCCAAAAATTGGCCATATGAATTAAAATTTCCACTTGTAGCAACTAAAATTGAGCTAAAGTGTCTTTAAGCGCATTAAAAATGCAGAGTTTAAAGTCTAATGAGACGTTTGCACAGGAACTTCACCCTTTCTTTATGATCATTAAAGCAGGAAGTATTTTTTCTTCACTTGTTCTCCCTTTATGCCGTTTACGACAGAAATCTCGTCTCTCCAATTTTGCCAGGGTCGACTCTCCCTCCTCTCTTTTTTCTCTCCCTCTCATTTCACCTCCGTCGTTCTCCTTCCGCTCCCCGTAGTGCTGTTGCTGCACCCACCCACACAGGAGCACGTGCGCACACTAAAACCCCGAACACACGCATGCATACAACAGGAACACACACACGTGTGCAAACCTTCCTCTCCCTGCGGTGTCATTGTTTTCTGCGAACGTTGCAAAGTGTTTACATTTCTGCATAACAGCAACCATAAACCTGCCCTCCCTCCTCTTTCCACCCTGCACTTCTCTTTCTCCTGCCCTCTACTACCTTACTACTTTTTTTAAGCTCTTAGTCATCTTCCTGCCCTCTCGTTTTGTCCTCTGCTCATGATTCTTTGTTATTTGGATATGAAACAGACCCATGGTCTCTGTGTTGGACTTAAAAAAAAGAAACTTTCTTAAATTTTCTCTTTCATCTCGCGCTCGCCCCTCGTTTCCTCCTTCATATTCCCTGCCTTCCCTCCTTTTCATCCCTCTCATCTCCTGCCCTTCCCTATTTTTATCACTCCACAATCCACTCAAACCCCCTCCTCTCCTCCTCTTTCATCCCTCTATTCTACATGCATCCCCTCCTCCTCCTCACCTCCCCTCTGCTCCCTCCTGTCCTCTATCTGTTACTCTCATATTATTTTTATCCCGCCCCATTCTTCTCTCTGTCCTCTCCTGTCCTTCTTTTTCTCCTTTAGGCAGCAGGTTTGGCCCGGTGCTTAAAAATTGTCCTGCAACTTAAAGAGTGGAGAGCCGCGCTGATCCCCTCCGACAGTGCTGTCCTTAAAACTCGAACCTGTAACTTCTTCCAGTTAAAATATCAAAAACTTTCACATCAGCTTGCTTTTCTACAGGGAGTGCAGAATTATTAGGCAAGTTGTATTTTTGAGGAATAATTTTATTATTGAACAACAACATGTTCTCAATGAACCCAAAAAACTCATTAATATCAAAGCTGAATGTTTTTGGAAGTAGTTTTTAGTTTGTTTTTAGTTTTAGCTATTTTAGGGGGATATCTGTGTGTGCAGGTGACTATTACTGTGCATAATTATTAGGCAACTTAACAAAAAACAAATATATACCCATTTCAATTATTTATTCTTACCAGTGAAACCAATATAACATCTCCACATTCACAAATATACATTTCTGACATTCAAAAACAAAACAAAAACAAATCAGCGACCAATATAGCCACCTTTCTTTGCAAGGACACTCAAAAGCCTGCCATCCATGGATTCTGTCAGTGTTTTGATCTGTTCACCATCAACATTGCGTGCAGCAGCAACCACAGCCTCCCACACACTGTTCAGAGAGGTGTACTGTTTTCCCTCCTTGTAAATCTCACATTTGATGATGGACCACAGGTTCTCAATGGGGTTCAGATCAGGTGAACAAGGAGGCCATGTCATTAGTTTTTCTTCTTTTATGCCCTTTCTTGCCAGCCACGCTGTGGAGTACTTGGACGCGTGTGATGGAGCATTGTCCTGCATGAAAATCATGTTTTTCTTGAAGGATGCAGACTTCTTCCTGTACCACTGCTTGAAGAAGGTGTCTTCCAGAAACTGGCAGTAGGACTGGGAGTTGAGCTTGACTCCATCCTCAACCCGAAAAGGCCCCACAAGCTCATCTTTGATGATACCAGCCCAAACCAGTACTCCACCTCCACCTTGCTGGCATCTGAGTCGGACTGGAGCTCTCTGCCCTTAACCAATCCAGCCACGGGCCCATCCATCTGGCCCATCAAGACTCACTCTCATTTCATCAGTCCATAAAACCTTAGAAAAACCAGTCTTGAGATATTTCTTGGCCCAGTCTTGACGTTTCAGCTTGTGTGTCTTGTTCAGTGGTGGTCGTCTTTCAGCCTTTCTTACCTTGGCCATGTCTCTGAGTATTGCACACCTTGTGCTTTTGGGCACTCCAGTGATGTTGCAGCTCTGAAATATGGCCAAACTGGTGGCAAGTGGCATCTTGGCAGCTGCACGCTTGACTTTTCTCAGTTCATGGGCAGTAATTTGGCGCCTTGGTTTTTCCACACGCTTCTTGCAACCCTGTTGACTATTTTGAATGAAACGCTTGATTGTTCGATGATCACGCTTCAGAAGCTTTGCAATTTTGAGACTGCTGCATCCCTCTGCAAGATATCTCACTATTTTTGACTTTTCTGAGCCCGTCAAGTCCTTCTTTTGACCCATTTTGCCAAAGGAAAGGACGTTGCCTAATAATTATGCACACCTGATATAGGGTGTTGATGTCATTAGACCACACCCCTTCTCATTACAGAGATGCACATCACCTAATATGCTTAATTGGTAGTAGGCTTTCGAGCCTATACAGCTTGGAGTAAGACAACATGCATGAAGAGGATGATGTGGACAAAATACTCATTTGCCTAATAATTCTGCACTCCCTGTATGGCTGCGCTCATTTTTCCACTGTCCACTGGAACTAATCTGTTTTATTTTTGACCTGTTATTTATTCTTTGTTTGGTGGAAATTTTGAAAATGTCAATTCCAGGCTCCCACAGTTCCAGGAAATCTGTATTAATGTCTTTTTTTGTGCATCTTGCGGTCCAAAAGACATAGAACAGACAAAGCAGCAGAGCCTCACGTTTGAGCAGCTGCACCCAGAGCGTAATTTGAGATTTTGCCTGAATATTGAACTTATGTGTAAAGATTCTGCATAAGGAAGTGCAAAATTATTGGCCCCGCAGCCGAATTCATCCCAAACGAGCCCGGATTCGCCTTGCATTT